ACGGCTCCCTCTGGTCTTTGCCAGCCGTGGGTGGAATGTGTCACGTTATTGGCTTTTAAGGGGAGCAGCCAGATCACTGCTGCGCCCCACGGGGGTGTTTGCCCCAAAGTCTGTACAAAGGGGCCGTGCGAGGTGTCACATGAAAGCTTGTGTTTTACTGGTTCTATGTGTGCTACTCACGCCCCCCCTTCCCCCCAAAAAACTTGTTGAGCAAAAAAAAAAAAAAAAAGAACTGAGCAGAGCAACAAACCTTGATGGGGGAACCGGGTCGCACGACCCCCCGTTTGGGAACCTATGGTCTAGTCAATGACTATGCTAATTAGCGAGGCTCCAGGAACAATGGCTCTCAAGGTGCCCAGTACACACCTGAGGGAAGCATCTGGAACCAGCAAACCAGCCAATATCATGGCTGCTGACATGGGACACAGGGACAGGTCACTTGGCTTGGAAGACACCAGGCATGGATATAAAATGCCATGAGGCGGACTCCATCTGGCCTTCAATTCTGCTCCTGATTCCAGATGCAGCCTTGCAAGAAACAGCGAGCCGGGGAGAACCGTGGGCTCATCCTGACACAGGATGTTCGCGAGACTTTTAAGCCAGCAGTTTGTAACATCTCTGCTAGAGCCTGCACCGAGAACTGGGAGATTCGATGCATGTAACGTATTCTCCGTAACAAACTCACTCTCCTGCTTTTCTTTCTTTTAGTAATAAACCTTTCGATTTTAGATGCTAAAGGATGGGCTCAGCGCAATCTTGTGGGTAAGATCCAAAGTGTACGTTCATTGGGGATCTGGGGCTGGTTCTTTGGGACCGGGGGACCCGTTCGGGGTAGGTGAGGTTGGGTTCTAGAACCCCTCACCTGTGTTAGGCCTGGGGCTGCTTGTGGCACAGGGAGAGCTGGGGGTCCGAGGGGTTTTGCGCGTGAGGCTTCCTGCTGGCCGGATTGGCAGCTGCAGCGCTCGGTGTGACTGGTGTGTGGCCTATTTGGGAAAGGCCTCTGGTCAGGGGCTGTAAGGAGCCTTGGTTTTGAGCAATTCACCCTCAGCAGTGCCCAGCCCCAGCCCAGCCCATCACACACCCGCACCCACGGCTCCCTCTGAGCTTTTCCAGCTGTGTGTGGAATGAATTTTGTTCTGCACACCAACGCCCGTGCACCACCAGGCGACACGAACAACCTGGCTGTGGGCGCTCTGCTCATCAGCGGGGTGGCTTTGGAATCTCTCCTGAGTAGCTGCACATGCACCCAGCTTCCAGGGAACCCTGCCTGTACCCGCTCTTTACCCCAGCTCAGCCCGCGGGGCGTGGCATTAGCGGCTGTTGTAAAACCTGCCTGCTGCTCTCCCTCCTCCGCGGAGGGCTGACAACCACTGCCCCAGCTCTGGTACTTTGCAGGTTTCTCCGGTGTCCGGTAACACAGACACTCTTGCGCCTCAGCCACGTGTCGCGCACTGGAAAACGCCCGTTAGATCCTGTCCCAGAGTCCCTCGTGCTGCAGACCCCCGGACGCCCAGCGCAGTGAAACAGGCCAGGAGCCTCCACTCCCCCGGGGGTGCAGCGCGGTGAGTCTTCCTTCCCGCCGCCGCGGCTCTGACTTTCTCAGCCTTGCCGGCTGGCAGAAACACAACAGCGGGAGCCCAGGCTGTGGCGTCTGGACAAGCTAGTCGAGAAGCCCCCGACTGGCGGGCAAGGCAGAGGGCTCTGAAAAACCACCCAACCCAGAGAAACAGCTGCCGTGTCTCGCCTCCCGAGCTGCAGCGCTGGCTTAGTTGGACGGTCCCGGCCGAGCTGGGGGGACTGAGCGAGCCCTAATGGAGCCCTCTACGGCCCGTGGCTGACGACCGCCACGGAGCATGTTTTAAAGGGGCCCGGTGGGGGAGAGCCAGGGCAAGCTGCTGGCCCCGGCTCCCCGCAGCTTTAGGGCAGACCGGGCACTTCCCGCCTGGGCCCCTTACCATGATGCCGGTGAGGAGGCAGACGCCTTTCCCACAGTAGGTGTGAGGCACCATGTCGCCGTAGCCGATGGAGAGGAAGGTGATGGAGATGAGCCACATGGCACCCAGGAAGTTGCTGGTCACATCCTGCTGGTCGTGGTACCTGCCAAGGAGACATGCAGCTCAGCAAGCAGGGAAGCAGCCACAACCACCCTTGCCCTGCCCAGATGGTGCTCCTGGAAACGAAGCCTTGTCTGGCCCCGGCTTGTTCCTGCACAGCCCAGCTCTGCCCAACTCAGAGGTCCCATGGGCATTTTCAGTGGTCTCAGGCCCAACGCGTAGACCCAGGCAGCCCCACAGCCGCTGGGCTTAACTCACTACTCTCGGCCAGACTGCGGTGTGACGCAGCGGGGATGGTGTTCGCTGTGTTGTGTGCGATTCCGACTGGCCTGTGCTGCTCTGTTGTAACTCTGTGTGTGCCTCAGTTTCCCTGGGCACTGCATCGGTGAGGGAGGGCTGCCCCATCTTAGCCCGTACACAGCAATAGTTCTGGCTGATTTGTACCCTGAGCCTGGGTGGGGGACACAACCAGGTGACACCTGCCTGGGAATCTGAACAAAGGCGGGGGCGGGGCTGGAGGGCTGGGGCCAGTTGCTGGGTGGGAGAGTTACTCTGGGCTGGGGGAGGATGCAGGGAGGGGGAACAG